TCGAAAAAGTAATATCTTCCCTAGAAGAATTTTTGGAATTAATTATCTACAATACAGTTGACAGATATTCAATTTTGCATGACTATGTACCAGTGCTACACGAAATCTTTTAAACCTTTTTAATTCGACCCTTAAAAAATTACATACATTCTTCTACACCCAAACGATTCTTCAGTTTCACTTACTTAGCCTATGATTATTCGAGAAAAAGGCAAAATAATTTAAAAGACAAGTTTTAACAAACATTATTTTTATGAGCAATGACAAATTTTATGATTGATATTGGCGTGTGGACGCCGGCCTCCCAGACATAATCATGAGACAAACATACATTACAGTAAGTGATGTCCGAGCACAGCTAGTTCTGTTTAATCTGTTCGTTTAGTGCATAATTATTTTGTTAGGGAGCCATTAATATCGTGAACATTATCGTAACAAACAATATCTCTTAGTTTACCATTTAATTTCAGGGACATTAATAATATTACAATATTTACAAAATTGCTTTTCTGCCTATTTTTGTTTATTCGTAAAAAACATTAAAACAACATTAAACAATACTTAGCATTTGATCAACCTTTTTGACCTACTCTGAACAGTGAGCATTTTGTTAAATCTAAGACTGGACAAATACTTAAACTTAAGTGACAATTTTTTACCTGCCATGTCTTTTGTGCCGGGCTATCTCGATATTTTGAAACCAGTATATGAAAAACTGAAGTATATAATGACACAAAATATTTCAATGGATGTAGATTAGCACCTTAGCATTATACTATTTTTAGTAACAGGGTGGCTGAAAAAGATTAAACAGGTGGTATTGATCACTTTGATATAACCCTATTAAGTAACTTAAAATCAGTTACAACATTTTATCGCTACAATATAAATTTATTTTTAAACAGGGTTTTTCGTTTCTGTTTCTGCTTTTATGATACAAATCAAGATATAACAATTATTTAGCAATACACAATAAATATAAAACTCACTTTAACTTTAATAACATGAATCAATCATACCACAAAGTGATCGTTTACATTTTAAGTTTTAAATTATGATAAATTTATAAATATCATTGTATAACTAACACAACTTAGAGAAAACAAATAATTAATTTAGTGGCATCAAACTGGAATTACTAGAAAAGGAATTGTTTGCTTTGAAGATGTACAATATTTATTTAGGATTATTGACAGACAATGTTTGCCTTTGAGAGCTGGTCCATGTTTAATACAAATTTCTAAATTCAAGTGAAGTTGTTTGTAAGCCCTAATTCAAAGTGGTGCTCAAAATAGGCTTACGCTTTTCGTGTTGTGATAATGTTCTCCATAATAATATTTATTTCATCCCAATATTATTTGTAAAAAACGCCAAAGATTCTTGTGTACACTCCTAACACTTAGAAAATAGTAATTTATGCAAACTTTGTTAATGTTCTTCTGTTGCATATAATCCTTTCATTTTGAATGGTAAAAAAATGTAAAATAAACAGCCGTTACTAAAGACGATATGGTGTTGAAATTCACACTATAACATATAAAAAGGGATATAGAAAAGATAGGATCTGTAGGTTTCAAAGGGACATACAATACGAAAATGTGAATGACTTGGTGTATAAAAAAAGTGTAAACCTCTATAATCCCTTGTATTTATTTCTTCGAAAGATAGAAATGGTAAAACTCCGGATCAAGGCTAGTTTTAGTACTAAAACATTTCCTTTGATTTTAAGAAAATTTCATAGTTGTTTTCACAAATTGTATTTCAAGGCACAAAGTAGGTTTGACTAGAAACAGGACCAGCTCTACATTGTTTGCCGCTACCGGTTCTGTTTATTTGTAAAGATAACTTTTGTTAAGATCGTTTTTGGTTGTTTCTTGTCAAAATTGAAATTTTAAGTCTATTTTATTAAAGTAGATTCTCTTTTGTTGAATTATGGTGTTTTTTGCATATTAAATTGATTATACGTCATTTAAAGACTTCATAGTTTGCTGTCAAATAATAATAACAAAAACTACTAAAGATTACTTGATTACTTTAAAAACATATCTCAGTTTAGTAATTTAGGAATGGGATCAAATCAATTGTATCGCATTTTCATACTGTAAATTTTGCTTATGTACATTTAGGTCAGTGTAAATAACTCAGTTATTTAGCTAAGAACAAATAAAAGTTTTAGTAGGCTGGGCACTACACACGAATTACATACACACCTAGATAATATTTTGGAAGCGTATTTATCATTCTAAGCTACCTAACATTAAACAAACTTAAAACTATAAATTAACATGTGAAATTTCACTTTAGTATTCAGTTCATATATCGAGGCTGATACAAATAAAACTAGTATTTTTAAAGTAACATAGTTTAATATTTGAAAGGTAACTCTTTTCAACAGGTCTCCAACAGGGTACACCATTTATGCACAGTATTTATCTACAAAATGTGATTGTATTTGAAACAATATGTTATTATATTATACCCGTATACATCATATATGGTTGGAGTAAAATTTTCCATTTATTTTATCCGCTTTGCTAGTATGAAGTGTGGGCCTATTCTAAGTAATGCCTCTCGCCTCGAGATGTCTTAGTTCCTACGGAGAATGTAAATCAGGTTGGATGAACTCACTGGTTTTTTCTTACATAACTGAACAAGTACAGGGTTTTATAACACAACCCAAATTACAAGTACCAAGATGCACTCTTGAAGGACAAAACTAGCTTATAATGTCGCATCCTTGTCTTCTTTACTTCATTGCCGACCAGCTAATATGTATTTTGCATTGCTGTTTACAAGGTTTAATGTTATTGGGAATTAATTGTGAATAAGATTCATCATCGAGATGTTGCAAGCTCAAAGAGTTTGTTTTGTAGAAGAATACATTGAAAGTAGGTAATTGATTCAACGGCAAGAAAGGTACTTTTTCAGGAATTATTATATAATATAAATCACCAAACTATTTCTAGAATTAAGTTAAAAGAATCCGGATCTGTATAAAACAAAAAATGTATGTCTACAATGAATACTCTTTGAGCTTGCGATAAATGCACCATGGTGAGTCACAATAAATTCCCTGTACCACTAGACCATGGTAATAAAAAATGAAACAATTCATATCAGCTGATCGGAAATCAAGTTAGGGATAGAGGGCTACCAACTTATAAGCTTTCTTTTGTCCCTAAACATTATATCTTGGTACTTGTAACTTGGGTTAAGTTTTAAAAAAACACCCTATATTAAGTAGTAACACAATTTGAGTAAGTACAGTATATCGAGGAGTAATTGAAACTCTTATCAAAAGCAAACTGTAAATTTATGTATAAATTGGAATTTTAATCTATTGATAACGGGTTGAAATTATTGTGCACAAAATTTGTCAATTCCACTTCACATCATTTCGTGCTATCTATTTGGAAAGTTTATATACAAATTTGAAAGAATAACAAATATTTACATAACATTTATAGATATAAAAAGTAGACAGTAAAATATTCAACTTTTGGTAATAATTTAAAATTAAGAAATGAAACCTTAACTTTAAATATGCTTAACTAAAACTAATTTCTGGGCACTTCGTTGTCAATAGATAGGCTGTTCATTTTGTTCAAATAAAGCTTATTTTATGTACTTTCAAATAAAACCCTGGTTTAAAAAATTGTTAATATAAAATAAAATAACTTTTGTTAAATATTAAAATTTATTTAACTTTCTATTTTGTTTAAACACACACTGTAGGTTTATTTAGATGAGTTTTACATCCGAGATAGCCATGCACATGTCATATGTGTAAAGGTATTTAAAAAGTAAAGATATTATTTAATTCGTTATATTGTGTCACATTAAATACCTTTACTTTTATTCAAAAACAAGGTTTTCTCTGAGAAAATGAAATCTCTCCTCTCTTACTAAATTCAAACCAGGAATAATATTAAAATTCAGCAGGTCACTGTTAACAAATAATATCATTGATAATTTCCTCATTTTGAGTTACCTGTTGAAGCAAAGCATAACTTTGTATGTTGAATGAAACTAATTGAGAAGACAGTTTTAAAATAACGTTGCACAATTACAAATTCAGAAAGCAAGATTGGAAGCAGGGCAGCTCCTGTTGAATTTATAATGGCACGATCGGCCTAATCTAGTTATTATTTAAATTGTGTAGAACAAATCATCATCCAAACAAACCAGATGTGTAAAAAGATCTCTGTTAAGACTTTATAAAGAGTATTAGTTTTGAATTATTATAAAAGAAATTTTGATTTTTTTTACTTTAAACTGTTGTGACTACTTGATATTTGTAATGGATTTTTGACAACCTTTATGATTCTCCCAATACTTTCTACTTACGTTAAGAACATTATTGCATCAATACCAATTAAATTCAGTATTGCTTTATGAAGGTATAATATGTTTTGAATCAATGGCTTCTATAAAAATATAATACAAATAATACTATATAATAAACAGTCTACCTTTAACAGGCTAACAAGCTCTAAAATTGAAATTCTAAGGTTTAAATTGTCCCAATACCAGAGTCCCACAAACTTCTTGCTAACTGCATACAAAACAAAATATTAGTAGGCATATGGTTCTTAGATTTGGATTATTATTTCAGTTTTCTTTCAAAATATTGAGTTTTAATATAGAATACAATGTTACTATCAAAACCCGTTGATTCTTTTGTAAGATTATGAAGAAAGTTTTTTTTTTTATTCCATACTACAGTCCTGTAAGAAAGTAATTTTGAAACAACTATTGGCAACATTCCTATGTATGTAAGAGAAAAATTTATTCATGATCAATGGTTCATAAGGGTTGGATAAATCTTACCAAAGTGTATTGCCAAAGTTAGCAGTATTTTTTTTTTTTTTTTTTTTTTTTTTTAAGGAATTATTTTTATCGTTAATGATTAGACAACTATTTGAAATATTAATGTTAATTTTGTTTTACTTTCATCTGATTGTCTCTAATATTTTAATTTTTTTTACAAGTCGTTACTGCGTAGTATTAAAATTATGTATCTGCTTTCTTTGTCTGTGTAGGAAAAGTTAAGTTTGTGAGAGCCCCTTTTGCTAACATCCGAATCCAATAAAATTATTACAATGCCAAACAGTTTCTGGTTCGAGAGAGTTTCACAAGTTATTTAATCAGAAAGTTGAGCTAGCTGCTTCTGACAACCATCTATTGCATTAATGATAAATATTTAAACTCGATGAAATAAACTGAATGGTTAAACATTTGGCAAACGATTTCAACAATATTTTATTAAAACCAGTAATCACAGAATACAACACAATAATTTATCGAATGAAACATGACTTCAAATAAATAAATTAAAAAATAATTTATATTTTTGCCCAGTTATTTGCCTGTCCTTAAATTATTCTACGCTATAACATATAAATTAATTTATAAATATTTTATTTTACAATTAATATCATACGCGATAATGAAGTCCATGTAATAATATATTACGATCATAATCATCTATAATTAATAATAATTCATACCAAATGTCCTATGATAATTTCAACATTAGCTAATGTAAAATCAACAACAAATGATTGTATTATTATGGTACTTTGACAATATACACCCTCTATTGTGAGTCCAAACACATGGTAACACAAGGTATTTAAATCCCTGTACTTCTAAGTTTTCTTTCACTCAATTGTTTTACATAAAATGTTATAGTGCAATAAAAAAGTTCTTTTAGAATAGTGTATTGTAGGTTTGTTAATGCTAAAGTAGTTTACAATATTGAAATAAAAACACATCATACACTAGACCTATATTAAAATAATTTACTTTATCTGTATTTCAGAATATTCATTTATATTATGTTACTCCTTAGGGACCTATCTACAAACATTGTGGTTATTTTTTTATATTTTTGATGGGAAGTTAGCGAAAATTAAGAATAATATGTTTTTTTATTTTTATTTATGAATAAGAATGTTAAAATGTAATCCTTCAAAATATCACAAAATACATTAACACTACAACAAATAATTAAAATAACAGTTAAAACTAGAAGGCAAGCAATGTAAACTAAATTAGCTTTTAACAAATCCTTTTCAAAATATGTCAAACAATTCATTTGTAAAAAAAAGGTTTAGTTAATTGGTGTTTTATCTGTAAACAATTTTGTGTTTTAGGAAACATTATTAACTCTGCAAATAAATATATAATCTTATTTTACTTAATTTATTAAAGCACCTATTTATTAAGATCTTTAGATGTATAAAAAGACAATACAAATTAACAACTCATTCTTTATAACTACTTTAACACATTTCCAACAGAAACTGACTTTATTTACTAAATTAAATGTAAAAATATATCAAATTTGTTAACTAAAACCTTATGGTGCCATCCACAATTTCGACCATGGAGCATTTCTTTATTCTAAACAGTTTGCTCTCAAAACACTTGCCACAACTTTTAAGTCGAGTTTGTGTAAGTCGGAGTCCACTGTTCACTTGTCCTTTACCGTACTAAAATTCGTTGGTTGCACGATAGAGTACAAAGATTACAAAGTCTGTATTTATCTAGTTTCTGTACAAAGTTTGCGAACAATGAGGATAAAAAACGATTGAGGTCATTTACGTTTGTTAAACTCTCAAAGCACAACATTGGTAGTAAGTCAAAACTTCACACCTGTTAATTTCATTTACAAATCAATCAAGAAATTTAAATGGTAACATATTAAAATAACCAGTAGTAACCATAATTTGAATGTAAATCATCGAGGAACTGCAAAATTTTTTACTTGCCATCAGTACATCTCTAAAGATTTCTCTTCTTTTATTTGAAGTTTGCCAAAGGGATTGGAAGACTGTCAGGCAAAAATTAAAACTAAATTACTGTAAGCAAAGGAGGAAAAACTATTCTTAAAGCTTAAAGGATAGCTAATGAATTAAAACATATAATTGAGTACTAAATTGATACATTTAGTTAACGCATTTAGTTAATAATACAAATCCTGCAATATCTATTAAATAATCTTAAAATTTTAACAATGTTTTTGTCAGATTGCTGAACACTATGTTCACATTATCCTCACTCATTTTGTGAAAAAAATTAAATATTGATGCTTATATCTCATCTCTTTTATTCGTGTTTGAAGTAAACTTAACTTTTAGCTTCTTTTCCAACAAACTCACTGTCAACTTTTAGATGCATGTTATTAGGTTTGAGTACCTAGCACAAAATACTTTGCATGATGCATAATAGTATTAAAACGGCAACTGTGTGCCCAGTAATAATTTCAAGGATTAGATACTAAATTGTATAAGAAAGTCTGATTTCCAATTATACTAAATTCTTATGCCTCTATACAGACTCAAAATACTGTAATACCATAGCTATGTAGTGGTTTATACAATAGGAGAAACAATTAAACTGAATTTATACATATAATAGCGTTGTATGGTTTCAAAGAGAACTACCATATACTGATAACTACATAGGTAGAATTTTTGTTATTACAAATTTTAAATAATGTTTTTTTTCTGTCATGGCTAAGAATATTTCATTTTATATTTGCATCAAAATTATATTTGCAGTGAGTCAATAAGAATGGTGTTTAAAATGATGAGTCAGTTTCTTAAAAAAATAAGACCAGTAAGTAAAATTTTGACCTTCCAGTACACGGACTCAGAGTCCGCACATTTGAAAAAGCGCGCCAAAATAAGTGAATTGGCGCGAATGACCTGATACGCCAAATACCTTTCCCCCACTACCTTTCCAAGGATAATGGCGGTGTTTTGACCGTCTTAGCGTCAGTTGGCCCTGAGCTACAAGGGTGTTAAGTTGGGCAAGTCATGTTTCAAGAGGATAAAGAACAGGCCAGCGATTGACTGATGGTTTTCAACAGGACATTTTCAATTTGTAATTATTTTGAAATTTATCTATATCTATTTACCTATAATTGGATTATTTGAAATTTTGATGCTATATGAACTTTATTAGGTATATAAAAGAGTGTTTCCAGTAACAAGTAAGACACGGAATGCAGTCCCCTTGCGTGTACTGGTGTTATTTTTAGCCACGCGTGTACTGGAGGGTTAACCAACATTTTTCAACTCAGCAGAAATAAAAATAAAATATTTTTACTAAGCATAAACTCTTTACTATCTTTTCACGTGGAATATTCTTTTCCAATAAAACGAAGAAAAAAATTTTGCAGTTTAAACAAAACGCTAAACTATCCCTTCCCCCCCCCAATTATTCTCAGTGAAAACATGTTTCTTTACGATGAAAACACGGGTGTGAAGTTTTGTCTATTTGAGCAGGCATCAGACACTATCGACACTAGCGAACCGTTGACCCAGCTCGTCGCACACATGTTGTCGCTGGGTGGAGGGGGAAGTTGGGAGTCGTCGGGGGTGACGTCTGTGTTGCCGACACCAGAGACACAGAGCAATGAACACAAACACAGCTCCGCACACTCCGCCCAGCGCACTGTTCATCACCCAGTCCAACTCTTGAACCACCACACCTAGACAGTGGACAACACACGGGATGTGTTAGAACTGTACGTATACAGATACACCTGTGCATAGTTGAAGGCGAAGATTTCAAAGGGGTAAACATCTTAATATTAAGTGTGTTCATCATTTTTTACTGTCGGGGGGAGTGAGATTGTCTAGACATGGTCCCCAAAGTCCTGGGCTCAAATCCTGTGAATCACTAAAGGATTTTATCTAGGTTATAATGCCGCAACCCTCTAGTTGGCACCCCCCTGAAATAGTGTGTATAAGGTTAGAGCTAACGTTCTAAGATCTGAAGGTGGAACAGTGAAACAGTGTGTTTCCTACTACGATCTACAAATAAATTATGATTAGATCTCGTAAAGTAGCGATTAATGTGACTAGTCAAAGAGAGGTTGTCCAAGTAATTTGTATCAAATATATTAAGCAAACAAATCTACAGTACATTTCTACAGTCATGATTTCTGTTTCTTTGAAAAAGTATTACCGCGTGCTCACCCCAACTTGAGTGTTGATTAACATCACAGCTTCTTTCGCACTTACAAAACTATTTGATTTTAGTGCTATTTACCCACCACAATATTCCAAATAATAAAATGTTATGACAAATGGCAAAATTACAGGACCTCAAATAATTACTTGGTAAACTATTTCCTATATGCTATCTAGCATTGTGTAGGTGTATACTCAATACTATTTCTGAGACGATTTACTCTAAATTTACTCAAATCTTATCTACTTTAATCCCTATCAATAGAATCTTACCTACCTCACTCCCTACCTTCTTTACTCTATATCTACTTTACTCAATATATACAATATATAATTCCCTAACTACTTTAATCTTACACACTTCACTCCCTATCTAATTTGCTCCCTATCTTCTTTAATCCCTATCTGTTTACTCAATATACTTTACTCCCTATCTACTTTATAATCTTACTTACTTCACTCCCTATCCACTTCGCTTAACCTACTTTGCTCCCTATCTACTTACAATTCTCCTCGTCAGAGTTATCATCGGCGCCACAGTTGTTCACCTTGTTACAACGCAGCTTGTCCGGAATACAGAACTGACTCCTCGTACAGCGGAACTCACTGCAGGCCGCGCTCGGATCAGCAATCTCCGTCCATACTGCCTTGAAGCCACTCGCTCCAACGGACTTGTCCGCTGATATAAAACTGGAAGAAAATTGCAATGTGAGGTTATTGGTGAAGGTGAAACCTACAGGAAAATAAGATAATACTGTAAGTCACAATAAACTAAAACAAATATTTATCTCCAATTGTTGTCAGTAACAGTAAACCTCCATCAGTCAATAAACCTAAAGACGATGATTATGATGTTGACCTTAATCATGCATCATGGTAAAACTACCAAACAAGAATACTCATTATCAATCCAAAGGTCCAACCATTGTATGTCAGAAGAAAGACAAAGAGGGGCTCTAATATTTTACCAGAATTTATAATATATAATATATATATAATATTTATTTTTTCATTTATATTTTTTATTATTTATGTATTATTTATTTATTATTTATAATTCATTTATTATTTATTTATTTATTATTTGTTATTTTTTATTTATTTTTTTATTTATTTTTTTATTTAATTTTTTTATTATATATATTATTTTATTATAAATTTTTTTTTTTTTAAATATAACTATTGGCCATGGAAACTTTTATTAGTTTTAAGTATGTAAGCCAACTACAGTTTTACAAATTCAACTTGAATATTTGTCTTCTTATGGGTATGAAATCAATGTATTATGATTTATCCATTCATGGTGTACAAAGTTCAGTACACCGTAAAAAGCGCTCTATGACTTCATTACGATATAAAAAACTGTTTTTTATACTGAAATGACAACCAAACCATACACATCAATTATTGTGAATTAGGTACCTTGTGTGAGAAGTCGACAATTATGTAATATTAATATGCAGCTAGACGAAATAATACAAAAGTATAGTCAATTGCAAGTGCATAAAGAATGAAATGAAGACTCCAGGTGCATCCAATAATGTATACTGCCACAGGATGTGATATCATGGGACTTGATTGTCCATAGGGAGAGAAGAATAACACAGAAGGTTGGAATTGAGACCCAATATGGAGGCTGCAGGATCTATTATCATAGGCAATACCATGCCAAGGGGGCATGTGCCTAGACCCCTAGTAGGATGGTGTCCTGGTTGTGTCCCCTCAAATGTATGGGTCACGTGTGACACCTGAGTCTTTTACCTATATAGGTAATACAGGAGTTGTTGGACGTAGCAAATAATACAGGAGTGAGAATTGCAGGAATAAGAATTAGATTTATATATCCAGTATTTTATGCAATAACTTTCATATGGGTATGTCAAATTTTTGTTTACATTAATTTATTCCAGTGGGTTGTCCATCTTCTTCACATGGTATTCTTCAAATGTGTAAAACTGTTCATTATGAAGAAAGTTATTTATTTAAATCTGTAAATCTTTTTTACCAATTTTAGAATTTTTTTTTTTTTTTGTAATTTGCTGTTTAAAATGATAAATGTAATCTATTTCATGATTTTTGTGTTGAAAGAAAGATAATTTTGAGACCTAGGGAATGTCGAAGCCATAATTTTAGTTTAGAGTCCCAGTTTTTTTTAGAAATTAAGTTTTAATTTTTAAAAAGTCTAGCAGCCAACACTAATATTCTAAACTAGCTTTTGGTATGATATAATTTGCTTAACATAACAGCTGTAAACATTCAGAGTTTTCAACACAAATTAAGCATTTGGATGAATATGAAATTAAATACGTAGAATTGGCTTATTTATACTATGTGTAATGTTAATTTTATTGATACGTTCATTTTTTCGGATTCAGTAAGAGGACGAGAGTTTATTTAAATATACAATGTAAAATACTAGATGTTCTCATTTATTTTTTTGAGCAGTCTTTAAAATATTTAGTTTGTTTTAATGCAATATAATTTGTTATAACTAACAGCTGGTTGAATAAAAAAATATTGTATAGAACTATTAGGTTAGTTTATTTACTCTGCGATTTTGCCATTGATTATAGGAAATATAATCAATATTTCCTATATATATCAATATTGAAAATATATCAATATTTCGGGTTGGGTAGCAGGAAAATATTTCAGTTCTGGCGGGGAGGCTGAAATTTTAGGTGGTTATAGTATACAAGTTTCTGAACCTAAAACCGCACAGACCCCAATTTTTAAGGACCTCGGTCGTCCTTGATGGCGGCCGTAAGAATGGCTATAATTGAATTGGCTATAATAACAGAATGCCTGAACCGATGTTTATGAAATTTGGCACGCAAGTGCGTGAATACATTATCTTGGCCTAGGTTGTCGAGGTTGATCAAGTCATTTCAAAATGGCGGCCGTTAAAAGCTAAAATTAAAAATAATCTTTCAGTGTTTTGTGTTCTCAACTCCCTCCAGAGATCTGCAGAGACCTATTCACTTTCCTTCCAATCAAAGGTTGCACTACCTTTTCTGCATTTCATGGAATAGGCTAAATACCCCCACCACAGCAAACCTGCAGATTAAGTGAGTTTCCATTTCCCTAATTTGATTTTCATTTCATTATTTTATCCTTCGATAATTTTGACTGAACTTTTATGAAAGTTGGCATGTATGTAAAGGTAGAAGATACCAATTAATTTTTTTGTGAAATGCCCAAATTTTTCTCCAAATTATTTTGAAGATATTAATCAAACAAATAATTCAGTGAATTGAAGTGTTTTTATAAGGTTATTGGTTACAGAGAAAATTCAAAACATTGTAAATTTAAAACTCCTATGTTATTATTACGGAGAGTACCGGTACATAAACTGATGTATCTTGCTTGTTTATGATTATATTTTAATGAAACATGGCAAATTTATTCATTTTAAACTAAACTAATAATATATTAATAAAAACTAACCTTATTAATCTCCCTGTAGCAGGAAACCTAGGTACTCATGAAACCTAATGTTTTTGAATTTGATTTAATTGAAAATCAAATTAGGGAAATGGAAACTCACTTAATCTGCAGGTTTGCTGTGGTGGGGGTATTTTTCCTATTCCATGAAATGCAAAAAACGGTAGTGCAACCTTTGATTGCAAGGAAAGTGAATAGGTTGCTGCAGATCTCTGAAGGGAGTTGAGAACACAAAACACTGAAAGATTATTTTTAATTTTAGCTTTTAACGGCCGCCATTTTGAAACGACTTGATCAACCTCGACAACCTAGGCCAAGATAATGTATTCAAGCACTTGTGTGCCAAATTTCATAAACATCGGTTCAGGCATTCTGTCATTATAGCCAATTCAATTATAGCCAACGGCCGCCATCTTGATGACGTCATTAAGGACGACCGAGGTCCTTAAAAATTGGGGTCTGTGCGGTTTTAGGTTCAAAAACTTGTATACTATAACCACCTGAAATTGCAGCCTCCCCGCCAGAACTGAAATATTCTGCCACTATATGCAACTATAGGCCTACAACCCCACTAATAAGTAAGATTCTATAACCATTGCTGTATACAAATCGAAGCTCACGAATCTTTAAAAGAAAGCTTATGGAAATTATTTTCCTACTTGACTTTTTGAGGAAAGGTTGGGAAAATAACAATGAAAACATGTTTTAATTCATCTTGGCAGCTTTTTCTTTACTATAAATTTTGAACTGCTTAAACTATGCTTGAATTAGTAATAGACACGCTATACAGTTTTAATGGACTACTCTATTCCCGTACATAGGACGGGCCAACAGCTCGTTTACTGTTTAAAATATAACTAGATAACCTGTTGCTCAAAATCAAGCAAAACTGAAACTTGTATAAAAAAATAAACAGCAAGACCTTAATCAAAGAGTCACTCTAAAATAATTTGTATGACTGATTATAGAAATATAAAAATATTATGATGTAAAAAATATATAAAAGCAATCTACAATATTTGAATTTACATTCACCTCATACTGCTTTGGTTATCTCTTATGTATAGTGGGCGGGTGCACTCTATGAGCACGTAGATGTCAACCACACACTGCAAAGTGAGCTTTTGACCTAATGTAGCTCAATTCCTCTCTTACATTGTAAATATTTAATACTACTTAAAAAAAAAGTCTATACATACATCTGTTTTGTTGGGTGTTTTATTTTGATTTTGATCTGGTGTTGTGGCTGTGTCGTTTCATTTGTCTGATTTCAGGCGGAATTTGTTTTAAGAAATTGATGGTGTCCATTATCAATTATTTAAGATGGGGACGCCACTATGTACGAATTTTAACCCAAATATGAGTGAAGGATGAGTGTAGGATGAGTGGCGCATCTTGTAGATCTGTTAGATCTTGAGTCTTGTTAGTGACTAAGGCCGACATATTCCTTAGACACAGCTGTTAATAATAACCCAAACAGCTAATTGCAACTAAGGGACCTACAGTTTATAGTGGAATCCGAACCACATTCTAGCCTTAGTATTAACAAATAGGTTAAATTATCAGGATAGAACTGCGGATAGTCGTAGTACTCACTAGTGCGAACGTTAATCCACACAAGGGAGTATCGTATCCACAGTGCATCTCTATAAATTTCTACAAGTCGTGAACTCCTAGTAGCTGGATTACAGGACAACGCCACTGTCCCAGTCAAATATGTATTGAGAGGTTATATAGTTAGGATTTGGTGTTTTATGAAAAGGGGCTTGCAGTGTTCAAGATAGTGGGATTGGTTAATGATTCTGGCTGCTTTCTTTTGAATAACTTTTACTTCTTTTAGTTGACTTTCTCTGGCACTTCCCCATGCAATTAAGCCGAATTTTAGGTGTGAAGCAAGGATTCCATGGTAAGCCATCTTAATAGTTTCTTCGTTAGTGATTTCTCTGAGGGCATAGAGAGCTGATGAGAGTTTTCGCTGCAGCTTTTTAAAACATTTTGGTGCTACTAAGGTACTAGGGTAGGAACAAATACCTAATACAGAGGTTGTTGGACCTATATTATAGAGGTAGTTGGACCTATTACCTAATACGGAGGTTGTTGGACTCTGACATGTACTGCCACCTGTCCCCTGGAGGTTTCTCTCCACAGAGTTCTATAGGCACAGAGCTGTCAGGAGCTCCTACAGTGTTCCACAGTCTCACCACGGCCGCCGGACATCCTCTTGCTGAAACACAATATTCTATTTGTAGGGTAAGGTTATCTGAGAACTTGATATTGAGATCGGCTATAAGATTGTGGCAATAAATTCAGTCAAAAACAGTTTGACTTTTAAGACAGTTATCATACTTAGACGTAAACCCTTCCAACATACTTAGGACGGGCAAAATTGTTAATTAATTAGTTATTTTAAATTCCTTGCCCTTTTTAATTTATTTCCACTCCAATCAAATGTAGTAATGGTGGTAAATGGTACGGATTTATCCATGACCCCTAAAATAAACAGTAGCTAGATTATGAATTGAGAATAAAAATTAGTTTGGACAGGATTTTATTTTAATAAGAACATGACATTGTAAATTTGAACAAGATTTATCTTCTAGAAAGAGATTCATACAACAACATTTACATGTTTGCTGCGGGAAGAGTTAAATACCGTGTTGACAGAATTTCTGCAGAACGTATGAAAGTGTTGCAAAACTGCTGATAACTGAACCAGCACCATCCAGTTTGTCTACATGATAAGTAGAACATCTACAACTATGTATATCCGATGTATCTGTAACCTGTTCCTCAAAGCCAAAAATTGACGTACTTCCATCAACCCCCTTTCAAATACTATGAGGTTTAGTTTCCAAATTGAATAACATTTTTATCTCATTTAATTCTTTTTTGAGCCAGAGAAGTAAAGGCAAATAGGAAACTTGCTTACGCTTTCAGTTTTAGTATGTTGTCTGTGCGTGCAGATACGCGATAGGGGCAATATAATTGTATTGTGGCGAGCAATGAAGATCCTGCGGCAAGCACTGTGCGGAAGTTCCTATCGCACAGGGCTTAGGGTCTTCCTCCACTGTGAGTGTTGGTAGTATGTGATGGCGAGGGGGTAGAAGAAGTGACTAGTGCTAGACACCAGCGACTACTGTTAAACACCACTTACATGTACCATTGAATGTTTCCTCTGTACCTTACTTTCCTGTGGTTGAGCTAAGGTTTTCAACAACAACCATGGTGAGCTTATTGGAGGCTGATAGTCCAGGACCTGACAAGGGTTCTGTGTGCATGTCGTGTATAGAGAATTTTGCTTTTGCATTTCAATATAGGTGTCTTAGGAAGTGTTTTCCACTCGGGTGTCAAGTTCGTACCTGGTACGTTTTCGAGCTATGACGTCATCAAGATGGCGGCTCGGCAATTTTTAAATGCGTATATTTCGCAAACCGTTTAACGGATCGGGATGATTCTTTTTTTGTTTGAAAGATACTTTTACAAACTATCTTTTTTGTATTTACACATTTGTTGTAAACTTAATATTCACTGCACAATATTGAAAAACGTCGTTTTTATTGTTATTATATTTATTGTTTTGCTTATAACTTCTTAACCGCTGATAAAATCAAATACCACCCGTTGCAAAAGTTGTAGATAATTCTATACCCTTTCCAACGATACCAAACAATATGTGATTAGACCTAAAAATATAGCAAAGAGATTGAATAAACTGTAAAAAAAACACTGAAAGTGGTGTACGGTCCGGGAAAGATTAGTCCTGGACATGACTAGGGTTCTGTGTGCATGTCGTGTATAGAGAATTTTGCTTTTGCATTTCAATATAGGTGTCTTAGGAAGTGTTTTCCACTCGGGTGTCAAGTCCGCACCTGTTTCGTTTTCCAGCTATGACGTCATCAAAATGGCGGCTAGGGAAATTTTTAAATGCATATATTTCGCATACCGTGTAACGGATCGGGGTGATTCTTTTTTTGTTTGAAAGATAATTTTACAGGAAATGTTTTTCGTATTTACACTTTTGTTGTCAACTTAATATTTATCTCACAATATTAAAAAACGTGGTTTTTAATATCATTGTTTTTTAAATTTTCTTTATAGCTTGTTAAACGCTTATAGAATGAAATAACTACCCGTTACATAAGTTGTAGATAACTTTATGCCCTTTCCAATGATACCAAACAATTAATATTTCAAACTAAAATTAAAGCCAAGATGATTCTTTTTTTGTTTGTAAGATATTTTTTAAGCCTATCTTTTTTGTATTTACACTTTTGTTGTTAACCTACTATTTATCCCACAATATTAATAAATGTACATTTAATTGTTATTTTTATTTTACTTTTGCTTATAACTTTTTGACAAATAGTAGGTTAACAACAAAGGTGTAAATACAAAAAAGATAGGCTTAAAAAATATCTTACAAACAAAAAAAGAATCATCCCGGTTCGTTAACCAGTATGCGAAATATACGAATTTAAAGGATTGTTCCAGCCGCAATATTTTCCGGACTATCTACCATGTTAAGTGTTTGTTAACGGTTTATTTAATCTCTTGGCTTTAATTTTAGTTTAAAACATTAATTGTTTGGTATCGTTGGAAAGGGCATAAAATTATCTACAACTTTTGTAACGGGTACCTAGTTATTTCATTCTATAAGCGTTTAACAAGTTATGAAGAAAATTTCAAAAACAATGATATTAAAAACCACGTTTTTTAATATTGTGAGATAAATATTAAGTTGACAACAAAAGTGTAAATACAAAAAACATTTCCTGTAAAATTATCTTTCAAACAAAAAAAGAATCACCCCGATCCGTTACACGGTATGCGAAATATATGCATTTAAAAATTTCCCTAGCCGCCATTTTGATGACGTCATAGCTGGAAAACGTAACAGGTGCGGACTTGACACCCGAGTGGAAAACACTTCCTAAGACACCTATATTGAAATGCAAAAGCAAAATTCTCTATACACAACATGCACACAGAACCCTAGTCATGTCCAGGACTAATCTTTCCCGGACCGTACACCACTTTCAGTGTTTTTTTACAGTTTATTCAATCTCTTTGCTATATTTTTAGGTCTAATCACATATTGTTTGGTATCGTTGGAAAGGGTATAGAATTATCTACAACTTTTGCAGCGGGTGGTATTTGATTTTATCAGCGGTTAAGAAGTTATAAGCAAAACAATAAATATAATAACAATAAAAACGACGTTTTTCAATATTGTGCGGTGAATATTAAGTTTACAACAAATGTGTAAATACAAAAAAGATAGTTTGTAAAAGTATCTTTCAAACAAAAAAAGAATCATCCCGATCCGTTAAACGGTTTGCGAAATATACGCATTTAAAAATTGCCGAGCCGCCATCTTGATGACGTCATAGCTCGAAAACGTACCAGGTACGAACTTGACACCCGAGTGGAAAACACTTCCTAAGACACCTATATTGAAATGCAAAAGCAAAATTCTCTATACACGACATGCACACAGAACCCTAGTCAGGTCCTGGACTATGACACACTTAGAGTAGGCCTACATATTGAATAACAGTAATAACACATAGTAAATAATCCAACAGAAAATACGCTACTCACAGGCTGGATCTCCTTCTACAGCGAAAAATTCGAAATTGAGCAGAATCTTGTGATTGGGCCTCACATTGACATACCAGTTGCATGTTTTACTGGCCATGCCCCGCGTTGGCCCCTCGTAGTTTAAAGGAAAATTTGGACTCATTATAATACCATAATCACTGCTACTAACATTGCTTCCACAGTCTGAAACAAGACAAGAATCTCTTACTTCTCCGAATCTCTTTAGTCCAGAAATGCAAACTATTGCAATGATTTTCATATAAAAAAATTTGACCTGTGATGGAGTTGTTGGTTGATGCAACTGATTTTTCAGTGGTTCTTAAACTAAATCATCAACTTCCTAAAGATTCATTACGATTCATATCTCCTTTCTGCCATGATCAGGTGATTCATTAACACGTTCACTACTGTCAATCTTCAATCTCAAAATTAAGATTTACAGTCGGTAGAGAACAAGTTAAACAGACAGAATACAATCAACTATCAAGTTGGGGCAACATTCAAAATTAATGATTGTATCTATACTTCGTTCAAAATATTTAGGCTGTTTTAAGGGAAGAAATCCCTATCTCCTCACTTGACCCTTACGTTTAAAATAATAGCTCAACAGCTGATTAAGCAACATACATTAAATACAAAAAAGTGGTAGGGGAAATTCCCCTCATACCGCCTAAATATTGTGAACGAGGTATAACAAAAGGTTGACGCTATGCTAGATATTAACAGGGCCTGGATTTTGACTGTTGCCTCAAAAAACCTTGAAATGCTAACAACATATAAATCTCAAACTAAAAACTAAAAATTAAAACTGTAATCCTGCATATTTAGTGCCATATAAACTGGTGTGTAACAAGCCGAAGCCGTAGTTAACATATCGGACTTAGACACAAGGGTTTAGACAGCTGTACATCCACTAAACTACTGATGTTTTAGTGCTTTTCCAAATTTTTAGAGTTTTTTTTCTGATACAAACACACCAAAATGTGTATTATAACGGGAGTATCCTATGTCGCCTATATTGTAAGTTCCTTTACTATAATACGAACTGTAAGTCTGTTTGTCTGTCTGTCTGTAATATATATCTCGAAATCCAGCGGAAGGATTTTTACTAAGTTTTGGAATTAGGGACATATAGCCCTAAAAACGTGATTGGTGACAGCCCCTACCTCAGGAAAATTTGTATTCCGCTACACAACTCATTTGAAAATTTAAAAAATTGTTATTGGCCTTATGGGTTCCTAAGTAACTATGTTGGTTGAACAAAATAGCAAGGAAAAAGTAAAAAAAAAATACTTGTAACATGTGTTTACAACAAGCCATCCACAGTATACTAACTAGCAAATTACAAAATACAGTACAAAGGGAAAAACATCAGTTGTAACTATTGAGCAAAGATTACACTAAAGATTACTCAACATTGTTTCGTATTGGTGATGTTTGTGTGCACTGGCGACTCGCGTCAACTCAATGGTTCATTTTTATTTAACGGTAGATTTTACAATTTGTATTCACTCTTTTATTGTTTACATAATTTGGGACAGCTGTATTCAGTTGAATTAGTATTTAAGTTAATTATATTACAATAATCTTTTTAGTAGCTTGAATCAGACTTATCCATGTCTTCAGCTACCTAATCCATCATATCATAGTATTTCAGAGAGAAATTAGCTCTTGCTGAGGTTTTACTTATACTTAAAGAAAGATTTAATTTAGTACCAAGAAATAAATCACTTCCCTTAAATACGCTGTACTATGCTGTATTAATGCTATTGTAGCTGATTGCTACTGTATTAACCTGTGATCGCATATTAATTCCATATAGGAACTGATATCAAAAAATACTTATTTTTTTACATTTGTTTTATTTATTTACAACGTAAGAAATGTGTAAGATTAAAATAAACTAATTTGTTGGATTGCCAAGTTAAAATTTCCATCATATAGTAAATTTAAATTCCACTGAAACTTAAATAATAAAAGCTGAAATTAGTTATAAAGAAAACACAAGTTTCCTTTATTGCTTTTACAATAAAAATGTCTCGGTCACCCGGTACTTACTGAATGATGAGTATTGAATGAATGATATGACAGCTGTGTTACTGACTAATAACAGCTGGTTCTTTGCCCAGGATCTTAAAAGCTGTCAGTATTGTTCAGTGGTGTAGTGGGGGGAACATGTGGGAACGGCATTCCCATTCTGCTTATTTTCTAACAATCCTATATTGTTTCTATGTTATTGCCGGAAGGGGGTGGTGCATCTGAAACTTTAGTGATGATCGCTAAGCATCTATTGCTCGGGCTATTATGCCATTAGCGTCTGTTCCTTGCGATTATTTGATCAGAGAATCAGTACAGGTAAAATAATACCAAATACACCGCCAAAAAAAAAAAAAAAAAAAATGGTCGGTTGATGAAACCTGATGGTGAAAACTTTCCTTTTGTCATAAGGATTACCATAAGAATCTAACGAGTCTATTAGTCCATAACAAATTTTAGGTGGAACGGTGTTTTGGGGGAGATGTATCAGTTTTTTTAACTGAAAATTAAATTTTGACGAAATACAGGCATATGTGATACATGTTTTTGGGTTATTTTCAGTGCAGAATCAAAAGAGCCAGACAGTATAACCTCCTTATAAAGAGTTTTTTGTTTTTGGTTCGCAGTTACAGACGCTGGCGGCTGTAGGGATTGACGCTTCTGTCAAAATAGACTAACCTGAAACAATGCAAAGCATTTGACAGTAATTGGTGTGGAGCGATCATCGCGGAGAGTTAGACGCACCAGCTGCTTCTGGCAAAACAGCCCTTTATCATTGACTATATATGCCTTTATTCAGTTATTGGACAATAGTGTATTGGACCTGTCCAGTTCTTAAACGTGAAAACTATCGACTACACCACCAACAATAATCAAAGACAGCTGTGTCATTGAAACAATCACTTATGTAGACACATTTTTTTTTAAATCACGGTATATTTTTGGATGGCACAGCATAACATGGCATAAATACCTCCAAAAATAGACTTAGCCACTTCAAACGAGTATCTGGCCTTGAAGCCGCTGAAGACTCCCTCCTGGTCGGAGTGCAGAAGTATCTTAATGCCGACGGCACCACGTGTGGAGTCCAGCGGTCCAGGCGCCGTCATGCCACAATATCTTCCGATCAGCTTCTCGGTTCCATCACGGTACATGTTGTACATCTCCAGCCAATCCTCCTGGCACACCGTCGTGCTGTGGTGAAAACACCGTTAGAATGATGTAATCAAAATTTGTAATCGGCTTCTCTAATTTATTTATACTAGTATAAGGAATTTTGAATGGATGGTCAATGCACTAAAAAACTAAATTGGTACGGCTTCAGTATCTAAAATATTATTGTACTTATATTACTGCTACTTTTGTTCATAAAATATCAAGAGCTATTTGTTTACTCATATTGGATGAGTAATTCCATTTTATAGTCTATTAATTTTTTATATAGCTGTCCCAACAACAGAAAAAGTTAAACTTGTGTAAAAGTCTTATTGTAAGTGATTCAGTAGCATGATACAGCTTAACCCTTAAGCGCACACGCTGTTTTTTTTTACGCTGAGTGCGCACCGGGTTACTATGGAAGGAGTAAATATGTCATGAATTAATACATTTCCTGGTTTATAGAAAATAAAATACTATACAAAATTAAATACTTTCTTTGATAGTGTATATGTTCTTGTTGGTTTAGAAGTCCTTTTAAACACACTTCACAAATGTTTTACATTTGTCCCTGGCACATTGGTTTTATTTTACACTTAAATTTGGTCTTCGCATCTTTTTATCATGGGCAGACGATGCACAGCGCCTCTGCACTGGGAGGCTGAATCAGTGGATTCTATTGTTTGACATTTCCATCCAATTGGTTTACAGAGTTATAAATTTTTTTTTGCAAACTTTCAATACTATCAAAATTATAAATAATAAAGTTATAAACTAATTATGATGATAAAACTGAGAAACTACTACGCGCACAGGGGTACATTAGACCCCCCAATGAGCACAGTACCACGGTAACACAAGCATGCGCATGGGGGTATGACACACCCAGGGTGGTGATAACAGGTCAATGACTCGGTCAAGACTAAAAACCCTGCGGCCAGAAGATGGCATATACTATTTTAGGCAGTTACTGTTATGCTCACCAGGGTTGCCACCATACTTGTAAAGTTATGACAAAATTATTGTACGTGGTGGTGTGTCATACCCCCTTGTCGCGGTTAAGGGTTAAAGCTGGCTTTTCCTAGGGGCTGGATGCAGCAAAATGCGGAGAGCGGAGCCTGCTTTTCTCTTGTCTTAGGTAATTTAATGCTTACTGTTTTCCTAGAAGTGGAACCTGCTTTGACCCAAAACCTGGATAGTCCAACTCACTCTCAAGAATAAAGGTAAAAAAAGACCTCCTGCCCTGACTCCATCCTGTGTCAGTCACCGTGTTATCGCTCAGCCCAACCGCGATACCACTGAGGTGTGTAAATAGTTTTGTAAAATATAGAGTCTAATGATAAAAAGGTAGCTGTGTAAGACCCCCTGAAGATGCCACACAACCTGAGAAAAGTCCATAGGGTTGACAAAAAACATCTTAATATCAAGAAAATCTAGGCAAAAAAAAGTTATTTTAATATAATGATTTCTGGTTTCTGATACACCAAAATAGCAGCATCACTAAACAATTAATACGGTAACAGATATTTTTGTGGCAAAATTTTAGAAACCTAGGCTTAAACCACTGACCACTGTTATACACTATGTTAACCAAACTTTACATCCTACATTCTACATTTTAGCCACAATACTTACCCATAAGAACCAGCGGTAGTATTAGCCTGATCAGCTCTAACTTTAAAATGGTCAAAGACCAAAGTAACTTGTTCGTTAGGTGTAGCAATGAATATATAGGAACAATTTGTCTGACTTGGGTAGTTTGAAGGATAACGAGGGGAATTGAACTCTCCCTTCTTCCGACTTGAGCTGCGATAAGTAAAACTGCAACTTCCATCAGGAGCCGCAGTTCCAGGAATGCGGTACTCTGAAACATACGGCAAAGTAAATGGGTAATTTTTTTATGTTTTAGATTCACAAATAATCTTTCACAGTTTCTCAGTGTACTCTGATTACAGACACAAAGAGGGTTACATAGTAGGGATGACCATATAGGTCAATCATTGATGGTAACATCGGTATTTCAACCAGTGATGCACAGATAACATTATCTCCAAAAAATGGATGATAATCGAGGTTTTTTCCATTTTGAGTATTTTGTCTGCTTTCTGTCTCATTTAATTACCTAACTACTAGCTAGACGATTTGATTAGGAGTTTCTCTTTAACATTTGAAAGATGTAATCCGTCTAAATTGTTTATACAGGAGCAGGAGTGCTGCCGCTGAAATTTATTACAAACATGTTGATTTTTGGCAGCATTTAGAACGAGCACATCAAAGTAGATAGTTATCTCACTCTCAGTTTATTCATGTCAAGTTTAGTCTAGTTTGCGATATTTTTTCTATTTGATATCCATTGTGTAAAAACAAAACGTAACAATTCATTCAACTGACGTTTCCGCCTCGTTGCAGTGCCATAGACTCCTGACTTCAGGGCAATAGACTTCTGCACAGTTATCAAGCTTTTTATCACTTGCTACAACAACTGTGCGGAAGTCAAACAGACAATTGAATACCCTGCACTGAGGCTGTAACAGTATAGGTCCAAGAAGATGACAATATATTCATGTTTTACTAACCAGTTTCAAAAGTGTACTTGGCCTTGAAGCCCCCGCCTTGTAATTCCCCGCTGCTGAACACCATGACAAGTCTGGGTCCGTCAGACACCACTTGTGAGGGGCTACTTTCTTCTCCGCACAACTCATGATCAAACTTGTCATAAGAGTCTGTTGCCTCCTGACCTTTCAGGTAGATCTTGAGGTACCCGTCACTGCAGCTGCAAGAAACTCCTGCTAAAGATTACCTGGCTTGACTTGAATCTTTAGCTTGGGACTGCAGATTTGACCAACATTTTGAATAATATCCTGGATAATAATCCTGTTATATTGTACAGGGTGACACAAAGGAACCGGACGTTTTTTAAACAGCTGTTCCATTGTTGTCCCACGTGGTAGGAGGATTGAGGTTATGTCATTACCTTCAGTGAGGCTTGCCATCTTTGTTGAAATGGCTAATGGACCCTAGACCATCACGTTTTTGCATACGATACTTTGGTTCAAAATGGTGAATCCATCGTCAAATCCAGCGGGAATTTAGTAGTCATTTTAATATTGAATGCCAAGGAACGGTTCCAAGCCAAAATATGCGATTAAGATGGGTTTTAGGGTTCCGAACAACTGGAAATATAACAAGAAAGAAACCACCAGGCCTTGTTAGAACTTCGAGAACACCCGAAAACATCGACAGAGTGAGAGCAGTATTGAATGAATGTTTCCTAACAAGGTTATTTCTCGCTTTGGTGACATACCGTGGCCGCCAAGGTCACCTGACTTGTACACTATTGATTACTTCCTTTGGGGGTTTCTTTAGGAGCATGTTTATGCTCACAAACCACGCACTCTAGAGGATTTGAAGTTGGCAATCACAGAAGATATCAATGGCATTTAACAAGACCTCCTGACCCGAGTTTCAGAGGATTTTCAGACCATCTGACCATGAGTGAACATTTGTAGAGAAGTAAATGGCCGCCATATGTATGACGTCATTTAAAAAATGACTGTTTTGTAACAAATGGCAAATGTTTACCTTATGTATGTACAGTACTAAAACCTTATTCCACTTAACTACTGTGTACTAGTTATTTAATAAACACCCGGTTCCTTTGTGTCACCCTGTATTATTATTCTTTTTTGTGTGTTTTACACCAATAACATTTATTTGCATTAAGAAATTAACCAAAACGAACAATGTAGTAGCAATCTATCTTTGGTGCAAGCTAAACTATTTTCCAGTTCAACATCACATCTTCCGAAGATCAAGATTCAACTGAAAAAGCCTATTTGCTACCTACTTGTTTAATATCTAGCATAGAAATTATTTATCTTCTTTTGCAGAAGTCACAAATTATATCCTTTGTTTATGTATATGATGTAATGTGAATTGTATAACATCACCCTTAATAGGCACCGATTATTATGCTTCATTAGAGTGTAAACATAATACATTACTGTAATATTATGTGATTAAAACTTTTAACTGTTTCTGAATATACCAATTGCACATTGTATCATTCCCTTAACTTTCCTTGCTAATCAGATTCAAAAGAAAGTTTTTGGCTTAAGACAGGGTATAAGGCAATGAGAGCGCCCAAATTGATTTTGCAGTCACATACACATAAGTAATTTCAACAATGAATAAACAGCTGTGCTTATAATCTGAAGTAAACTATGTTAATTAGTATACAGGGCACTATGTAGTCATTCGCTTTGTGCTTTTGCTCTGGATATCTTTTTCAACAATTGAAATTCATTTGCATACACTCAAACATTGTTTGAACCACATTTCATCAACGCCGTTCCAGATTGGAAAACTATAGGGAACTGAGTAAAATACTGTAATTTAGGATAACATTTTCAACCCTAAAAAGAATCGGTGGAAGCTGCAAATTTGTCTGTACACCATCAAATGTGGAAAGCGTGAGAGGCCCAGAAATATTCGAGTCCATAAAAAGGTCTTCCAGGAAAACTTTGTAGTCTCTGAACTTAAAATTGCAAAAAATTGTGTGTTTTGATGAACTATTTTATGTACAAGATATATAGTATTACATTTGTACTATTCACAAATTGGGTTGCTCTCATTACTTCACCATTTATATTAATATTTCCAAATTCATGTCCTAATTCAGATTTTAATACTTACTCATTTTTCTCTTTTGGCTTAGGAATATTAAATTTCATAAAGTCCAAACGAACTCTTTCTAAGTGTTGTGAATCTTGCATTCCATAAACAAAATATCGACATACAATTTTTGGCATGTATGGGAAAGGGTAGTTTGGACTGAAAACAAAGCCACTTGATTCTTTTTTACTTAAAATCTTCTGATCACACTCTGAACCTCTTATGTGTTCACCGTCGTTTTTCGCTATAAAATCTGTAACAAGACAACAAATTATTGACTTATTGAGACAACAAGTTAAGAGTAAAATTAACAATTTATTATACATTCCTCGAAAAATCATTATTAGATCTCCACCAGTTTTAACATTTCTACAACCCTTCGTGGTGCATAGTTGAGAGTGAAGATGAAAGAAGGTTAGAGTTACAGACATAATAACTTAGGCGATACGAAGTTCGCTGGGTCAGCTAGTAATCATTAATTTTGGACTAATTATCTGAAGAACACATATCTGACCAAAGAGTTCTGCGGACATTTTTTCACACCTTATAGTTCACAAATTGTAAACTTGAGAACAGGCCCAAGTTTAAGGTGGCCCTGAGTTGCAAATAGTTTAGGATTTTACACCCTTTGCTGAGGGGAGTGTGGGAAATTTTTGCAACTAAAGTACAATTATTATAGTTAAAATGAGTTTTAACATTATGTTGAATGTTAAAGTACTGTTTAAAATTTGTGTATTTTTTATGTTTTTTGTAACAAACCAAACTAATCAAGAGAATATTGTAAAAAATAAGGGAATTTGGTACCCTTAAAAATTAGGCGCTCTGGGCTATATGCCAGTGAATCATATAGGCTACTAAGTCATATTCAAAAGGCTGCTTTTGGACATAAAGCAGTTGTTGGTTATATTTCGCTTAAACACAGAACATCTTAGTGTTTATATTTATGTTGTGAAACTTTTTAGCAGCTAGAGATTTGTTTTTACTGTATCATGGTAATTCTGTCATTCAAGGAGATTTTCTGGCATTAATTGTTCCCTACCCACACAGAAGTAAAGTAAGGTACAGAGGAAACATTCAATGGTACACTTAAGTGGTGTCTAGCACTAGTTCTGCTGTTTAGGGCTAAGTCCAACACCATACACATGTAATACAACGCTCAAGGAGGAGAATGACCATTACCCTGTGCGATAGGATTTTCCACACAGTGCTCGCTGCTTCGGATCTTCCCTGCTTGTCACAAATATTTCCAGGCACAGCATACTAGAGCTGAAATCTCATACGCAAGTTTCCTCTGTACCTTAACTCTATGTTTCGCTACATATTACTGCTGAACAAATACCAGAAAAAATCTCACCTAATTTAACAAAACTTTCGCTGAATTCAAAAATGCCCTTGAATCCTCTGTTTTGGGTGTTGGCAGTGCGCTGTAGTGTGTCAAAAGTTACAAAGAGCGACGACTCTGACGAGTAAAGCACCAAGTTGCGTTGTTGACCGCAGTACGTTCCTATAACGGCACTGTCGTTGGTTTGCCCATCAAATACTTTGACTACATCAAATGGACAGCTAAAAATCAAACATTTTATTAGATTACCTTAAAAAACAAAACCATTCAGACAAACTATTTATCAAGTCAGTGAATTTTGTTCATTCTATAAGCTGAATGCAGGGTTTGTGTTTCCGATATAAGTAGCTCAGTTGTAGTGTCTTCGGCTTCCCCTGCACTACATCTTCCAGTATATCACTAAGGATCATCACTGACTTAGCTATGAGTCACATCCTCTAAAACTGGGTTTTCTTAGGCACGGAAGCAGTAAGGGGAGAAAGAAGTCAGCTCTTTTCTTGAATTAGGTAATTTAAAGGTACTGTTTGCCTAGAAGTGGAGCAGACCGCTACTGGAAGGGCAGAAATCACTCCTCCACACTCTGCATTCTTCCTCCGCTTTATTATTATTATTATTATTATATTATATATCCGGTAATAATATAATATTTCATTTCATATTATCAAGGTATGAAAGCTCAAACAAATTACAAAGATTTTGGAAGAGATATTTGGATATTAAAAGTAATTAGTATTTTCCACTTCAGTTGACCAATAATATTGAGATCTTCTAGATTGGTAGGTTGAATTTAAGCCAGTGCTGGGTAATTATAAATCCTAATTCAGTCTGTTGTAAGGTGTAAAATTACAAGTACATAAAAATACATTATAACTAGGCTGTGTTTAATATTGATGAATAGAAACTAAGTTGTAGACTCTTTTGTAGTACAGAGTGTAAAACCGACAACTGTTCATTTATTTAACCTCAACTGCCAGTCATCATATGACTGTCACTGGTCTCTCTCTGTCTGTCCTTAATGAACTTAGACTACAAAGAACCATAAGGGTATAGATCACAAGCCAATAGTGTCTGCGTTGATAAGGTCAGTCTTTAAACATGAATTTCAGCAAAATACCCAACAATGAGCTACCCAACAATGAGCTACCCAGTAGAATTATTAAGTATAGTTGGAAGGAATTATACAAAAGGGATTGATTTAATTATTCTAGCAATCAAAACTAAATACAATTTCAAGCTTCATGTGCATTATTTTCAACTATCCTCTACCTGTTAAGTTCAAGACAAAACATTTACGTTACTCACTGTGGGCCACCAAAAAACAAATCGAAATCCCGGAACTCCAGCCGCACTCTTTGACCAGGTTCTCCGATGAACAAATAACTACAGGAGAGGTCCTTGGGGTATGCACCGGGGTAGGTCGGGGACACGATGGTTCCGGTTCTCTTAGCCTTCCCCAGAACCGTGAAGGAGCACAAGGAGTTGGGCGCCGGGGTGCCGATCTGGTACTCGGCTGCAGAACATAAATGAAAAAGGTAAATTTAACCTTTGACTTCATTGATCAGTTAAATTTGTTCAAAAAAACCTTGTTTAATTGAAGCTCTGATTATAAGTCAAAGTCATGACTAAGGACTATTTCTTTTTCCATTTTTATTGCCAGTGAAATTTTGCGATTGAAAATATTAAAACCTTTGAAGGGAAATCATTGAAAACTCTCATTTGCAAATGCTATGAATTGAACTGGTCCATCTCACATTAAAGTATCACATCAACTTATTGTAACTTCTAGCCTATCATAGACTATTCGACATTGAAGTATACATCCATCTATATGGACCTGGGGCCCTATTTTTGAAATGGTTGAGAGTTTAGTCAATCGTCAACACTCAACTCAACCAACAACAGGATTTGGTGTTTTTGAAATCCAACAGTTGAGAAGTGAGTTGGTGATCACTAGTTGAGTACCGGTAACTCGTTTGGAAATCAAAGCGACAACACCGCACGAAATACAGATTTTAGTCAGATTGAGGTTATGTCTATTTTGTCTTAATCTAGTGATTGCAAAAGTACATTGTTTAAGTATTCGAAATAAAATTAACTATGGAAGCTTGTTTTAGGCTATACCTCATTATAGGCATACCCGTATGATAAATTATTTGCTTTCTTCGTCTCTATTTAAGAACAAATCACCTTATTTTAGTTCCCTTCATCCGTTTTGTTTCTTGTTATTTTTAAATGTTTTTGATGTTTAAGTTAAAGCTATATTTGCCAATGCACTGAAAGCATACAGTAACTTAATTAAATACATTTGATCTATATATTAGATGTAGGTATTGAAACAAACAAACTTAACTAATGATGTTTGTCTTTACCACAATCCTTAATACATCATTATAACAATAATATTATAATAAGTTTAATTAGTAGGCCGTGTATTTCAAAGTATTCAAGTATTGCAACATCCCTAGTAGCACAAATATGTATTTTATAAATATTTTATATATTTAAAGTTGTATTTGATAGAACCTCGAATAAAATATATAAATAATATATCTTTAATAATAGTTTGATATATTCAAATATATATTTAAAATATTACCAAAAAGCAATGCAAAATATAAATTAAATATAAGTTTTGAATATATAAAATAGATTCATAATATATATTGATCAAATAAGTATAGAATCTATAATATACTTATTTTATATATATATTTTTCCTATTAAATATTTAAAAAAATTATGTGTTGAGAATATTTTAAATATATATATAACATATTTTTGAAATTATATTATATATTTAAAGTATTTATAAATATATTTTGAAACACGTCAGATATTTTTATTAAAAATATAATAATATATTTGTAGAATATATAGCCTATAATCTTTTATAATTAGCAAATAAATAATTTGCATCTTTTTGTTTTTTATAGTGTCTATCAATTTATACATGCATTTTTTGTATGATAATTGCTATTGTGAAAGCGTTAAAATTAAGTTAATAATAATACGTACTCTGAATGGTGTCACTCTATCATGCAGGTAAAGAAAAAATTACGCATATAGTTAAGAGGCAGTATCATGTTCGACAGCCTACATTTGGGTCAAACGAAAAAAAAGTGTTGATGGGTTTTATTTTTTAAATTGCAATATGTGACAATGAATGTGATCATAGAAATCTCGAATGATTGGCTAGAAAAGGGTGCTAGTGACTAGCGACCTTTTAAGAAACGAATTACGGAAAAACAGATTAACAGAATCATATTATACTGTAGTATCAAAAATTTTTAAAGTATTGCAACCATTGCAACTGAAGGCCACTCTTTCACCATTTGAAAACTAATGCTAACAACAGTCACAAGTAGCTCAGAGGTAAGGTAAGAGGCTCATAAGTCGAAGGACCCAGGTTCGAGACCCACCCGGACTAAAAAAATTTTATCCAGTAATTTTTTCAAAATTTGTTTTTATGAACTATTTAATCAATTTACTCAACTGATAATTGTGCTTTTCATACTTAATCTCCATTATTTTATGTTTTTATGTTTAGGCCCCATGGGATGTTTGGAAGAGATATTAAATACATTTTTTATTTAAATATTATTCACTAAAATATATTATTGGAACATATTTTTTTTTATATTTAATAGATTCAAAAACATATTTTTTATATATTTAATATATTTTAAATATTATATAAAATTGACATTAATACACACTTGAGATATATAAAATAGATTTTAAATATATTTATTCATATGTATTTAATATATATTTGTGCTACTAGGGATCCAAGGATACAACACTTGATATGATAGTCTATTATTGACACAGTAGGCATAAATAAAAATGCAATTTATTCTACAGAAAAACAATAGAATACAATATTGGGCGCTATGGTAATTGACAACAATGCCTAACCTCTAATCTCAAGTTAAATAGTAGTAGTAAACAAAGCAATAACAATATGGCGTCGACTTAAAAAATAGCAATTTTTGCCGAGAGAGGAAGAAGAAAGAGCAGTCAACACCGTCCACTCAACAGCTCAATCGGTGGTAAATAGTTTTGGTTGGATAGGTCAACTGTCAATCGTTTGAAAAATACGAAACGACTGGAAAGTGAGTGACTCAACACTCAACTCAACAGTCAATCATTTCAAAAATAGAGCCCCTGGTGTGTGAATCGACCTTTACGCGATCATTGCGTAAACTACTATAAAAACCTCTTTATATCCAATTGTATTTATTTTAGCAGACTCACAGTCGTTGAGGAACGTGTATCGTCCAGAGAAGAGGCCTGAGTGCGTGGAGTTCTTGTCTGTGTAGAACGCTAGGGCGATGGTGCGATACAGTGAGATGCGGCGTCGTGGCGGGATTGGACCACAATATCTCCCGCCAAAAGGTGAGTTGATCAGTTCAGCCGCCTCAGGCTGCTGCACTTCCGAATACACGTCCAAGTACTCGTGGATACACCTGGGCAAACAGGCTATAGTTGGCAAAGAGATCAATCATTGGTCAAAATGTTTAAGATTTATGTCAAAGGAAGTACATTTTTTTTAGAAACCTTTGTTTTAGTGAAATTCTGAATACCGGTACTTTTACAAAGTCAGTAAATGATAAGCAGTTAGCATTAACCAAGTTTCTCTATGTAGTACGGTTGGTGAAATAGGCGACAAGTAAAAAATTCAAAAACTAAAAACTAGATTGCGAATTAAGCTAGATTGTGTTTATAACTTGTCCATCATAATGTCCCGGTTAGGCTATGTATCATTGGATTTTCAATGTTGAAGTGTCAATATAATTGTCTTGAAAATCCCCCAAAAAATAGTATTCTTGTGTATTTTTCATATAATTCACGTTTTAAAAGTTATTCTTGTTCAAAAAATTATAATTGGTCCAATTTTGAATATTTACATTGTAAAATTTGTATATTTTTTCATAAGTTACCGACACTAATATTGATATTCACATAACATTTCAAAGTTCTAAGTATGTTTGTTGAGAAAAAGTAATTTATGAAAAACACAAAATGGTGGCTCTATCAGTAACCATTTTGCAGACGATTTAAATGTGATATTTACATTTTGTTAAGAACCCAGAAATGATACCTTAAAAGGTTGGTAGAGAGTTAGGGAAACACCATGTATATAAGTTCAATTCCATTTAAACACATCGAAATATAAATCTAATAGCTAAAAACTAAAAAGTAATGTTTGTACAGATAAAACAGGCATAGCGCACTAGCAATAATCATCTAAAATACTATAATTATTAGTAAAAACTGCTATTCAGGATATTGAACTACTTATTTCTACTGTATTTCTAAGACAAACTATTTGACATTTTCCACTACTTGTAAATTTGCAGTAAATTGCGTAGCTGACCTTCAGTAATTTAATATAATTATTTTACTAAAAGATAACTACTCAAAAATTAAGAATACTGGATCCAAAACATTATGGTGTTTTAGACCTTTTGACTTGTATAAATTCGTAATTGGCAGGATTTGACCCCGTGACCTCAGGAAACAAGGTTCCGTGCTCTAGCACTAGACCAGCTTGCTCCCAATTATTCCAATATATGCCTACTTGTACCAGTCTTATTCAATACAAGGCAACTTATGCCTCTACGATACGTGGTCTTAAACAATAACCCTATACATTATAAAATCAGATGAACCATCATGTTCAATACCGATATGAAAATTTAGTCAATGTTTTTGTGTTTATTTACAAAGATGCAAAGTGTGTATTCTGGTAATTTTATTCAATTCTTGTACTTATCTAGACTAAATGTATTGTATACATGGTATTACAGTATTAACAGTTCAATAGAATAATCTTAAATAAATTAACGATTTAAAAATGTATTTCAACTTGAACGAAACAATTTTGTAAAATAGTTTTCCTAAAACTACCAGTAAACTGTCAAAGAGATGTTTACCAAGGGAAACGAGACAACAGAACTGGAACAAACCTGTTTATCATTTGACAACCAACAGAAGATTGACTATACATAATATGTACATAATATGACTATACATAATAATATATTATACCAAGATAGGACCCAATACTGTGTGTGTTTTAAACTCATCATTCTTTGGAGGAGAATGTTTATATGTGTTGTGTAAATACAATGCAGTGAAAACTTTATTGACATAGTTATGCATGTAAAATAGCCTAATTTTAAGTTGTAAGTGCAGGAATTCAAATTTGGGCCCAACAATAGTTTTGTGTGCTGCCAACATGAATTTCATTTTACCATTGACTATATAAGCACTAGTGTTTATATAGCCAATGATTTTTCATACTAAATTGAGGGTACTCCTATTGATTGAGGTTCCCAGACTCTATAGTCTTGCTGTTTATGATTCTGAATCTTATTTTTTATAGTTCTTTATAAAAGGGGGTTTCTTCGTTCTTTATAAAAGGGGGTTTCTTCGTTCTTTATAAAAGGGGGTTTCTTCGTTATTTTTCTTGTGATCATTTTGTAGTGCCGAGTCTTGGTGATATTTTATTATAACAAACGTTATGTAAACTTTAAGTTTAACTATATAGCTTCTTAGAAAGTTATAATGATACTTTTGGGATTAAAGGGAGAGATAATACACAAACTCATTTATATCGGCAACTTTTAAATTTTCTCTTACTAAAGGAAACGATTTTTTGCAATACTTATGTTTATCATTTTACATATACAAATGTTTATCACACAAACAGCAAATACTCACCAGTTCCACTTCGCTACAAGTGTTGGCAAAGTATTTAAGTTTTAAAGCATAATTATTTCTAACATTCCAAACAGATGGTATGATGTGCCTATATATGTACAATTTCAGAAGCAACATGAACTAATCTAAGATCGCCAAAGTTATTCTGCACATAATATGAACTATTAACAGTTCCTCGAATGATATGTTGAATGATAACATTTAGTGTAATGTTTAAGTTTTACTATGGACTAACTAATTTAAATGGACTTACTGTTATTACTAGTTTTGTTCATTGTAAAATCTTTTGTTTTATAGTTCAGCCACAGCCAAAATAGTTTAAAGTGAAAATGTTTCTTAGCTTAAAACTAGGTAGCTAAAATCGATTCAAGATAAGTTTTAATCTCATTCACTTCAGAGGGAAAACGTGTAAAAATGAACTAGAATGTACTATTGAGTGTTGAATACGAGTCTTCAAATAAGTGACCAAATAAATACAAAACCAATGGAAATAGAAAGTACAAAAAGTAAAATTGTAAAAATCTATTCTAGATGATGCGAATGTATGAATGTCATGTTTTCAAGCAATGCATGCATGAAACAACTTCCTTGTAATATTCAGGACTTAATTTCGTTAGTGTGTCACGACAGATAGCTTCAACCCACAGGGGTGAGTTACGGGTTTTAATTTGTCGGGGATGATTTGGTGAACAGGTTTTGGTGTTTAAAGTTAGTGTTTAGAAGTTTGAATTACGCATGCAAGTTTAGGGGGTTTTGACTCGGGAGTTTTCTAAACACAAAGATTTTCACACTTAACACTCAATCTGGGTTGTGAGATTTAGTAAGATTTACTCTCTGTGACGAGGACATGATATCAAGCCTGCAATGAAATGCACAAACAGAGCGTTACTGTACTCAATGCACAAGGCACACAATGCTTATACTCACGCGGGCAAATTCCCAATAGCCCAGCCACTATAGAAATACACAAACCATCAGAATTTAAACACACATACTTAGTTTTAACACAGTAAATTAGATTTTATTTTTATTTCAGTCTAAAAATTGGGATCTTAGTTTACACTTTATTTTGAAATTAAATTTAAATTTAACATACTTATTTTAAGATTATCAAAAGTTAGCAGTTAAAAGTGTAATTAGGGTAAATTTAACTTTAAAATTTAAAGACTGATTCTAACAGGTTTTAGTTGACATTTCAGGATATTTTACATATTTAAAACACTTAGGTTGCGGAATATGTTTGTTTGTATCTTTAAACGGTACTATGTAATTGGTTTAAGCATTTAAGATTTTTTTTAACTCATTGTAAAATATTTTGTCATTGCAACACGTAAATTGAATCACATATAAAATCTTCAATAAAAAAAATACTGTCAAACACAATTGACAATGAGTGGTAATCGATGCACACACGTAAGCAAAACAACAGGAAACAGTCAAGGAGACAAAGAAAAACACAGACTACAAACAGCAACAGAAGGACAGAAGAGAATGTAGCTGTATTTGTTTGTGTCGGAGTTATTTACACCTTTAGAAAGTTTTTTATGTTTGCCTGACATGTGTGCTCTGAGAGACTGACTTGTTTGACGGTTGGAAGGTTCACTTACTCGGGTGGAGTACCCCGTAGGTTGAAGGAGGTGAAGACTATCTCGACTCTCTGGTAGGGAGCCGCTACGAAGGTATAGACGCACTGTCGCGAGTGGCCAGTGGGGTTGGTAAGAGCAGGAGCGGTGAACGTGCCGTTCTGAGATCCTCCGGGTCTGCTTAGAAATGTGCGGTCACACTCTGAAACAGACAGGACATATTAGACATCAAACAATCCAATCCATAGAAGTGACTCCTAAACACATTAGAAATAAAACATTCCATTTGAGTTTCTCCTAAACATGTCTCGCCTGATTCACTTTGAATCCTGGAGTATGGATTCCATCTGTTTGGAGGAGGTTCCAGGATCAAAATAAATCAAAATGTATGTAAACAGAGACTACACGACCCAATTTTGGGCCCGATCGACTTCAACTCTGAAATTCGATGTTGAAAATCCGTGCTGCTGGTCACGTTTTGGGCAGTCAACTTCCAAAAAAGATTTCCAGATTACCATCCGATTTAGGGAGGAAGAGGCGGGGATGGACCAGGTGCACACCACTTTAAATCTTTAATACATTTGTATCAAAACTATTTTCAAACTCATTGTTCAACTATCGGGGCACATGGAGCAGGCATATCATCGACACCATGTCAGGGGTACCCAAATAGACGTCCTACCTTAGAGCTATCTACTGAAGCAGAGATTGAACTAATGGCTAACGAGGTACTACAATGGCGGATATGAACAAGCATAATTAATTGAAAACTTTCTATTTGTAAAATCACAATTATTAAATTTAAAATGTATTCATTTTTATAAATCTGTTAGTTGTTTCTGAAGATCACTATATTAAGAACTATTTTTTCCATACAACACTTAAAAAAATAAATGATCTGGTAAAATATCTGATAATTAAAAAATAAAATATTATATTTGACTAAATTGTAGTAACTTCATTGCATCCAATTTTAGTGCACTCGTATTCGACAGTTGGTGTTCTTATAAAGTTGATTATCCGAAGAGAAATAGAATGAAAAGTATCCTACTGGTATGTAAATCGTAGTATGGTGATCTCTGTTCTATCAATAAAGGGTTCACAAAAATAGTTCCTTAAACAGCTTTTTAGTGTGTTAAGGGGTAGGATATTATGAACTTACAGGAAGAAATACTAATAGCGAAATTTCTATTTAGTGTGTAAATCATAAATTGGGAAAAAGGGTTATGGAATGTGAAAAATTACCAGTAAAGGAAACATGGAGAGGCAACAATATCCTCCTGTAATCCAACTACTATAATTTCAGAGGTGAAATTTTGAAAGAGATTTTTATAAAAGGGTTATGTATACAGGGTGATCAACTCAAGGAGGCCACCATTAGGATATCGGAAACGGTAAGAATTAGAGAAAACTTTAAATGGGGGACCTTCCTTTATTTTTTTTTGCAGTTAAAAATATGATTTTATTTTTTCAAAATTCAGCCGCCATTTTCCAAAATGGCGGCCAACTTTGAAATTTCTTACGGAACACCCTATATTTTATCATGTTTTCGGATAGAACATGCAATTTAAAAACTTTTTTATTCTTGAAATTTTTTCGATAAACCCACTCGTTTAGGAGTTACAGCCTATGGAAAAATGACTTCCGGTGTACATTTTACATCATGTAGCTCCTAAAATAGTAGGTTTATAGCGAAAATGTAAGTCAAATAAGTCTTAAAATTGCATCCTCATTCCATAAAGACCATAAAATACACAGTTTTCCACTTTTCAAGTTTGCCGCCATTTTGGAAAATGGCCGCCATTTTTAAAATAATAGAATTAATATTTTTAAAGAATTTTATGGTCTTTTTGGAATGAGGATGCAATTTTAAGACTTATTTGACTTATTACTCTTCGCATTTTCGCTATAAACCTACTTTTTAGGAGCTACATGATGTAAAATGTACACCGGAAGTCATTTTTCCATAGGCTGTAACTCCTAAACGAGTGGGTTTACCGAAAAAATTTCAAAAATAAAAAAGTTTTTAAATTGCATGTTCTATCCGAAAACATGATAAATTTAGGGTGTTCCGTAAGAAATTTCAAAGTTGGCCGCCATTTTGGAAAATGGCGGCTGAATTTCGAAAAAATAAAATCATATTTTTAACTGCAAAAAAAAAATAAAGGAAGGTCCCCCATTTAAAGTTTTCTCTAATTCTTACCGTTTCCGATATCCTAATGGTGGCCTCCTTGAGTTGATCACCCTGTATACTAATTACAGAGGTTCAAAAGGGGGTCTAGCTGCTACTTATCATAAGGTAGGATTTTAATTAATTATCTGTGTCTAAAGAATCGGTAGGTTTGAGCACAGACAAGGAAAACCTTTTATTTCCTTAGTCAATGGTTTGAGTAACAAAACATCACATCCACCTACCCGTCATCACGCTCAACAATATAATTCCTAATGTGAGTGTTCCCAATAATATTACTTTGAAAATACATTCTATAGGACTTAGGAAGGTTTGGTCTTGATAATCAAGGTTAGTAGGCAAAGAAAGTTTCTGTCAGAGTAGAGATCGAACTAATGTCCATTGAGGAATTATCATGGACACAAACGAGAACAATTACCCAGGGCATAAAATAACACATTTTAACTGGGCGACATATTATGTGTCACATGGTGCTGAGATTTTGTCGCCCAGTAGCTATGGGTGGTGCCGGCATATTTTTGTTACGATTCAAATTTAAATTATTTTGGAATTTTTTAAGTATTTAAAAAATAACATTGTGTACATATTTTTGAGTATTACGTAATTAAGTGAGATTAAATGGACTATTTACATGCAAATATAATTGAAAAATTCATTAAAAGATGCGTAGAAATGTGTTATTTTCACTCTAGTCTATGCAACCATTTTCTAGGGGATTCCATACCCTCCGACCCCCTGGCACCACTATCGCCCAGTGTAAATCCCTTAAAATATGCTCTGCAATTATTTGTTTTATATTTCCTATAAATAAAATCATAGCTGGTTGTATTCGCCTGGATTGGTATATTTAGTATTTATTGTTGAAGTTAACAATTAAGATTCGCCTAATTTTCCATTCTCAATTGATACTATGTGTTCATTTTCATTCTATAGAAATTAGTCCAAAATCCATAGTTAACATGTGGATAGGCCCTAATCAATGAAAACCGATTAATAATTTACAAAAAATGTGAAAAGGGTAATTTCAGGAGTAAACTTAATCAATTCTTAAGAACCAAAATAGAATGTGACAAGTTCAAAATTAAATCCATTCTCTTTGAAAGGTGTGACTTTAAACACTGATCCATGGATTTTTTAGGAATATTCCTTCAAATATTAATAGACATTCTCTTTAATTTAATGGACTATGAGAGAAAAGTAAATTACACGTACTTGGAGGCTTGGAGGAAGTTGGGGTTTGGAATGTGGGAGAAGTCCCTGCAAGTTCATCTGCCTCCCTGGCTGCCCAGCCAACAACAGAGAGAAAAACTCGCATTAGACTGGAGTAAGGATACAGATAGGGTGCATTTAGAAAGTACTAATACATATAGTAGAACCTAGCAGAACCCACCAGCGACAATATAAATGAAAAAGCTAAACATTATATCTGATAAAGCAATAAACACCATTTCAGATAAAAACAAAACCACAAACTGGCTCAGTTATCTTTTGCTCAACTGCATAAAGCACAATAAAATTACTGAGTAACTACTACTGCTGCACAAAATAACCAGTTGACATCAAAGGCAATGACTTAGAGAGAAGAGACAATTATATATGCATTATTAAGAAAGAGATAGCAAATTCTAGGTCTGTAGGCTTGAAGGTTTCATGGTGAACCTCATTAGTATTAGCATTAGCCAATGTAGCGGAAATTAAACTAAAAAATTTATGTTTCAGTCCAGCAGTTAGCTGTGTCATTAACCGTTAATTATTTGTATGATATTATGCATTGTTTTTTGCTGCAATTCTTCATACAGTTCCAAAACAATTATACATGTTTTGAGGTCTTTGGATGAAATTTATAGTCAAAATGTATAAACAAGTTGTATCCTTGGACTACCTAACATTTTCACTTATCGTCACAAAATCAACATTGTGGCATACTTCCTAAACTTAGAATACGCTTCTATTTTTAACACATGATAACCCATTTTTTACTTGGGGTATTTGTCTAACAACATGTTTTTGATTATTTAATTACATTAGTTTCATTCATCTTAATCTCTAGTCTTCAAAATATTTAAGCAAAATACCCCCGCTAGCAAACCTGCAGACTAAGCAAAATCCATTTGCCTGGCTGGATTTATACTAAAATAATCCCTTTAAATTGTCAGATTTATTTCCTATTTAAATAACATTTAATGAGTACTTAGGTTTGCTGCTACAGAAATGTTGATAGCTTAGTATTAAATAAAAAAAATTGAAAATTTGTATTAAAATATATTCATGGAAAAGCAAACTACATCAGTACCTATAATTATTCTCCATAAAAATAACATGGAAATTTTAAAGTTTTTTTATATATCCGTAACCATTAGGCATACAACAACACTTTAATATATACAATTATTTATTTGTTTAATCCCTACAAAATGGTCTGGAAAGAAAATATGAAATTGATGTTTTTAGGGCCAAAAATAGAAAAAACCAATTTTTATCCCATAAAACCCCCGATAAAACCCCGTTTCCATAGACCGATCATGCTGATTCGTATAAACGTAGGTTTACACTTTATTACCATATTTCATCAATATCGGATCGTTTTGCTCAATTTATCGCGCTAACGGACGGACACACACACACATTAAATATATATGATGAATCTAAACGGAGGTTGTTTTTGGCCTCTGGGGACCTCAAAACGAAAAAGTAAATCGGCCCGTGGTCTTGGTCTTACGATGAGTCCTACGGTATTCGCTTATTCCCTATGAGAAATTCGCTAAACCAAAATACATATAAATTAACAAATTGTCTATTGTAAAGGAAATGCATGGCATTTTACTAAACCTAATCAGTAATGCTGTTTGGGAGAGCATCAGAGGGTTGAGTTTAGACAGGGAGGGAGGTGGTAGGAGAAGATAGAAGAGGTAAGGGATGAACGATACAATCAGCTACGTAGGCAGGGCTGATACAGTCGATGCACAGTACAATAGACTCCTCGAGTACAGTCTGATCAATATGACAATGCTTGACACCACCTCTGCCTGCTAACACCAGGTAAATACCAAACACCTCCCAAACTTGGAAATGAGTGATTACAAAACGTGGGTAAAACATGAGGATAAGGGGGCTTCCTCGAGTGAGATAATCTTGGCGTTACCTTTTATAGTATTTAAGTTTCAATACAATTTTGTAATTGAAAAAACGAGACACTTTTGAGGAAAAGTAAATTTGAGTGTATGTGCTAGGATTTGAATGGCGGGCATTAATTGCGCCCACTGACTTGAGTCAGGTAGTCGGGTATTCCTGAATTGCACCCACTACTCCAGGGAGCCACCCAATACGTTCATTAACTGTACTAAGTTGCGGTCCTCTTTGACTGTATGATTGAGTTGGTTAGGTTAGTTTGGGTTTGGTTAGGTTAGCTTAGGTGAAGTTAGGTTGGATTAGGCTAGATTAGGATGACATGTAAACAAGGACATTACTTCTGCCGGCAACTCACCCCTACCTGGCAAGAATATTTCAGTGGTAATCCTACCAGGCAAATGGAAACTCGCTCTGCAGGTTTTCTGCTGTGAGGTATATTATCCCTTATACTGTACATAATACGGATACATTATTGTAAACAAACTATTTTCATCGTAGTTTTCACTAAAAACCTACAAAAAATGTTTGTAAACCTATATTTTGAAATACGCATATCATACTATCAATAAACCTTGTAATACACAACAGGATTGAGTCCCTAATTTATCTAAGGTGACGTGTCATTCAATCCCTGTTTTGTGTGTACGTCGGGTAATCCTAGATAATATGATAATGAGAAAGCTGTATCATTCATCCACTCCCTGACACCTTCCACCTTACAATCTCACCTCCCTGTCATATTACAAACCTGTCCTATTACAAAGATGTCTGATCCTCTGGATTATACATGCAATTTTAGCTGTGAGATTTGGTAAATCTTTTACAACATTGAAAACGTGTTAAACTTGGAGCTTTGAATATTGCAAAGATGAGCACTAATTATACATAATATTCAGTATATATTTAGGTTATGTATTCACCCCATGGTGGAAGGAAAATACACTCTATTCAAATTTTGTTGATATAAGTATTATATATTATTTAGTGAATCTTATATATTTAGTTTTTGTATTTGATAAAATAATGTTATGTTTGCACGCAACTACAGTCGACGCACAGGATCGCTGCCAATGTCGGTTCGTTCCTAAAAAATATGTAGGCCTACGCTTTGTTAAACATAGATGTAATGCAAAGGTTAATTTAATTTATTCTATTAAATTCACTTAGGGGTTTTTTGTACAATTTCTGTAAATAATTTGTTGGAATAAAGATATAATTCATTAATTAATTCATTCATGTTATCTAAGGGGTTATACACATCGAATATTGTAATTTTTGATAAAATCCGTGAGTAAAAGGGCGTTCAAGATAACTTTTGCCAGTATTTAAAACAAAAGTGTTTTCCTTGAAATAGTTTGATTGGTAAAAAAATGTAGATTAACCTTTTGGTAACGGCTCGTTGTAGACTAATTGCGGTACACAATTATTGTGTCAAAAGTTTGATTGGTAAGTAGTTCTAGATTATAAGTAATCATTTAATAGCTTGTTTTTGTAATTAACTTGGTTATAATGTTGTTGAAACTCAATATAGTAAACTTGATAAAAACACCTTTGATTGTAAGAGCATCTTTACTTTTAACCGCCCCCCCACCCCATGTGTTAAATTTACATTAGATTCTTTTTAGCAGAAGCCTCTCTAGGAGTTTGATCTAATTATCAAGTAATATTGATTTACTAACCATTTTTAGGAGTTCCAGTTACATAATCCAGAATTACAATTATTTTACCGTAATATAATTCATATATGTATGTACTGTATATGTATATGTATTCGTGTAATCGCTTTGAATTATTTAAAAAGTTGAATACACTAGGTAAGAGCTTATAACTATTTTGAAATGCATATTTTTACTAGGTTCAGACTTTTCAATTGGGAAAGTGGACAAATCACATTAGAATAGTAAGGATGGCAGGGGGAGGTTGCAAAAGGAAACAGGAAATGAATATCTGATTGCTGTCATTTACGGGTGGCAGAACAGGCTCGTAGGGTTTTTGAAAGAAAACATTTTTAGTTTGAATTGTTTCAAGGGTAAAAAAATAAAAAAGGTTCAAGGACCTTAATGTAATGTCGTGTTTTCTCTAATCTTTGACTTATCCTAACCTCTTTAATCCTAACCTTCTTGCCACACAATAGGAAAAATGGAGGATATGGAAATAAGCTGATTAATTAACAAGTAAGTAACTTATTAAATGTATTGGCCGGTGCTTCCGGTAGCCAATACGAGTAGGGACGCCATATTCAAGATTCGCCTATTGGGTCTGATGATAATTGGAGTGCCCAATCGAAATCGATCACCACTAACCATCTTCTATTTATATTTAACGTCTTGTAAGTATAAGCGTAAATATATGTTTTAGTGTTATAAGATGTTTCTTTATTTACTCCGTACATTTTTTATGTAACGCTTGAAGGTTAATAACATAAACAAATAGAAACTGTTTCCGTCAGTTTTCTACAATGCAATTACGCTAGTGATCAGGTCACCCTCAATTTGACCACAAAATATAATACTGAGAGAAAACACCAGCATTTTAGATCAACTAAGGCCAATATATCGGTACAGCAGTACAGGTATATTTACAGACAACAGCAGTATACAGGTAGTATAGAATAGAATTTAATCGAAATTGACAAGATCGGATAACAATATCTTGACCATCAGTGCCTTGGCTGTTGAGGTGTAATTGAACCACCAGAGTAGAGGGCCTTGCCCTAAACATTAAGCTGTATAAATAGTTATATTGATATTAAAAATATGTTCCATAAATTAATAAAAATATGATTATTAATATTTGATTGTATTGTATTTTGGAGATTTTCAGTATGATTTATAAATATTTTGAGCACCTAATATTTTCACATAATTTCTGTTGTACTAAATACATTACACTTGAACTTTGACGCAATACTGCATGTGTTATTTACGGGCCAGTACTGAGTGTTGCGTTAGAATCTCAGGTTTGGGTGCAAGAGGATCGGGTTCAATGCCCCGCATTCATAAAGAATTTATGGGTTTGCCCCTTCAAAAGTGTTTGTGATTCCTTGAAAGTGCCACAGAATATACAGAATAACTATTCATTATCCACATTTATGCTTTCTATATGCAATTGATACAGCCATTATTTTACCTGACTGACTATAGGACATGCAT